GCGCCGGGGCCACCCCTCCCTGCGCAGGGAGAGGGGCCTGGCCGCGCGCTCCTGGCCCCATCGCGCCCTCCCTTCTCCGCCCCGGCCCTGCCACAGCCTCTGTCCCGACCTCGACTGAGCGAGTATGCCGGCCCCGCCCGGCCATATTTATCCGTTTACGTTTTGCGCCCTGCGTCGGTTCTTTGCTCAACAGGCCGGGGACGAAACGCCTTCGGTTTCCCTCGCGAGTAACTCTGCAGAGTCCCCGGCGCCCTGGCTTCTCGCCTGGGTGTAGCCCGCCCTTGACTCTTCTCCCAGGCTCTGGGCCCTTCAGTGCAATCCGGTTCCCCATTCCCACCCGTTGCACCAGAAGTGGGGGTGAAACGAGGCGCGCCACGGCCAGGGGACGGCCACCGCTACGGCCTGCGTGCCGGCACTGTGGGGAAGCGCGTGCGCAGGTGGCGGGACGACCCCCACCTCGGGTGTGCGCGCCCCAGGCCCCCCTCAGCTCCTTCGGGGCCTCGCAGTGCGCCCGGCCACCCCGACCTCCGCTGGCTCACCCAGGCCGGCAGGTGCTGGCCCCGCAGCTCGCGGCTGATGAACTCGCGCTCGTGGTCCAGGAATTCGAAGGCAGCCGCCAGGCGCCCGAGCTTCCCGCGGGCGGTTCCTGCGCCACCACATCCACAGCAGGGCGCCGAGCAGCAGCCAGGTGACGCTGAGCCCCAGGTAGCCGGCCAGGTAGACCGGCGCCAGGTAAAACAGCACGCGCATCGCAAAGGTGTAGAGCTCGGGCAGCAGCTGGCTGGACAGGCGCAGCTCGGGGCCCGGCGAACGCTGGGTTCCGCTGGCGCCACGGGCACTGGGACCGCCACGGGCGCTGGGACCGCCGGGCGCGCCGGGGGCTCCGGGGGCGCAGGGCTCCTCCGGTTGCATGGTGTCGCCGCGGTCTTGCCTTTTCCAAGAGCTTCACTTGAGCTCAGGCCCGCGCGTCCTGGAGCCCGGGCACAGCTGTGCAACAAGCGCAAAGCGCCCCGGCCGCCCGCGCCCTGCCGGAACTTTGCAGCGTCGCCCGGGATCCTGAGCTCAAGGCCCTCCTCCCGGCCTGAGTGCGCAGCGCCGAATACGCCGAGCCGCGCTGCCGGGCGCAGTGGGGCGGCAGCTCCTAGAGCGCGCTCCCCAGGGGCGGACCAGGCGAGAGGGGGTGGAGCCAGGCCGCCAACACCCGCCCCGGCTCCCAGGGATCCTGCCGCCACGCTGCGCAGGCGTCACCCCGAGGGGCGCAGTCGCTGCTCCGTGGACCCAGCACTGCCCCGGGCGGTTTGTGATTCATCGAGGCATGCGTACAATGGGCTTATCTCGAGGCCTTCCCCAGCCGCTCAGCCAGCACTCCCCAGCCCCGGGATGGGCCTGACCTTGCCTGTGCTCCCTCCAGCCGGCCCGCAGAGGTGAAGTGGCATCTGGCATCCGTAAAGCTTGGACTTAGCCCTCAGCGTCGCTCAGCCCACCTCAGGGCCCCTCTGACCCACTCTCCCCATGCTCCCTGTAAAATGGCAGTTGGGATCTTGCTTTTCTAGGTCATCAGACCGGGAATGGAGGCCGATGAACCTGTCCTGCTCCTCTGCGGGGTCCCCAGCAAGGACAAGTGACTAGTCAATGAAGAGAATGACGAGCAAGCGCTCAGGTGCTTGGGAACTGTCAGTGGTGACTCCAGCTAACCTTTCCGGATGCGCGCAGGAAGTGGGCTCTGCATAGCTCCGTTTGATGTTCATCAGCTTGTGGGTACCGACGTGCAGTGTAGGCGGCTCCTGTGAGGGCGCAGCAATGACCACAGAGTGATTTCAAAGTTGACAAGGACTGGAATGATTCTGTACTCTTCACCTTTTTTTTTTTTTTTTTGGAGAGGTTGTCGCTGTAGGGCGCGTGTGCTCGCCAGAGAGAGAGAGAGAGACAGAAAGCGAGAAATCACCCCCCAGGGGGGATGGCCACACCGCAATCCCTTCTCCTCCGTTCTCCTCTCGGGATCTTGGGCATGTATGCACACGCACCCGGTGTGAGTTTAAGCCACCGGGTCCGGGACACGAACTGCGGTCTACTACATGGGAGTCCAGCGACATAGCCATTATGCCATCTGCTGGTTCCTCTCCACCTTTTTATTGAAAGGCTGAACCTGATAGACAAAAATCAGAAGATGACTGTATTCTCCTTCTGCCTTTATCCTTCTGGATAAATTTACTTGCTACAAAGAATTGTGTTTTTGTTGTGTTTTAAAGTGGATACGGGGCCCAGCAGATAATGAAATGATTATATCTCTGGACTCCCACGTAACGGACCACGGTTCGAGTTCCAGACCTGGTGGCTTAAAACTCATGCCAAATGCCTGTGCATGCATACCCAAGATCCGGAGAGGAGAATGGAGGGATTGCGGCATCACCATCTCCGTGGGGGGTGTGATTTCTCACTTTCTGTCTGTCTGTGTCTCCAGTGAACACGTGCACCCTATAACAAAAAATCTCAAATAAAATAAGTGAGTGAGTAAGTGGATATGATCTGGTGGTCAAAATGCATGAACCCTACTGTTCTTGAGTTCCCAGGACTCAGCCAAAACAGGCTAAAAAACCCCTTAACTAACATCGCGTTCCACTGGGCACTTCCCGGTGTACAGGCTACGTAAGAAATGCTGCTCATTCAGCTCCTTTTTGGAGTCACATGTACATAATCCTATTAAAGGCTCTGAGAAGTCCTGCAGATAAAAAGCTGTTCAACTGTTTAACCCAGCCTTCCCCAAATTATTGGGAAACCCAGAACTCTTTCCTCAAAATACTTCTTTCTTGGCTCACCCAGGTGAGCTGAATCTAAAGCAATGAGGATGTTTGATGGGGATACAGGGAAGTCTGGAGCTTAGGCAGAAAGGTTAGCCCAGGAAGTCCCTGTAGGACCCCTTCCTCACGATCCCAGCTTGCCTCACTGCTGACCTGCCACCTCGGCCTCTCTGGCTGAGATGAAGAACACGGCACCTTGCCCACAGCACCCGGGGCTGCAAGGCACGGTCTCCCGGTCAGACTGCCTCGTCCCTACAGTCTCGATTTCAGACTTCATGGAAGAGGGTGCAGCTGATCTTCCCATCCTCCCACACAGCAGGGCCACCTCCTCCTGCCTCCACGCTGGGCTAGCATGTCTGGGGGAAGGCCGCCAGAGAAAGGAAGGGTTTGGGCTGTGAACTCGGTGGACACCCACAGAAGCAGGTAGACAGCAGCATGAGCCCCCTGGAAACGCTGCTCCCCGCCCCCAGCCCCAGGAGAAATCCCTGCAGGATGGGGAAATTGAGAAGGAATTGAGGCCTGACCACGTCCTGTTTGGGGCGGGGGTTCCCTCTGCTCTCTCTCTCTGGCCTGGGCTGCTCCTTGGACTCACCAAGCGCATGGACGCCCAAGGCTTTGGTACTTCCTGCTCCCTCTCCTTGGGCTGTTTCCGTCCTCAACCTTCCCGACGCCGAGTTGGGTGGTGAGATTATAGGTGGGTTTCCTTTCTTTCCTTCCTAAACCTTATCTGTCACTGTACTAAGTTAGCTCATAGATGAAATAGCTGAGCACACGGACGATGTGGCATCTACATTTTCAAACCTCGCCTGAGGACTGTCTGCTCTTGACACATTGGAGCCATCTTTTCCCTTTACCAGAACTTCCTAGCAACGACCACCAGCAAAAGACAACCTGGGGAGACGGATGCCTTCCAGAGCCTTCTCCTGAACCTATTTAAGAGTTCATCATATAGGGACCAGCAGTTGGTGTAATGGCTATGTCACTGGACTCCCATGTAGTCGACCGCCGTTCGAGTCCCAGACCCAGTGGCTTAAACTCAC